GGTAGAGCGACAGTGGATCTGTTCGCGTCGCACGACAATGCTCAGTGTCCTCTGTTTTTCTCCCTGAAAGATCAGAGCGCGCCTCTGGGGATAGATGCACTGGCACACGATTGGCCTCGCACTCTCCTCTATGCGTTCCCACCGATAGCATTAATATCCCCAACACTCTACAGAGTGAGGGAGGAGGGACTAAAGCTCATATTAATAGCTCAGAGGTGGCCGGGGAAATACTGGCTGGCGGAGATCATACATATGCTGTACGAAGACCCCTGGTCTCTCCCGTTACGCAGAGATCTACTGTCACAAGCAGGGGGGGAGATCTTTCATCCCCACCCAGAACGATTGGCACTATGGGCCTGGCCAGTGAGTGGTTCAATTTGAATATGACCGGTCTATCTGACAATGTTATCAGAACCATACAGAATGCTAGAGCTTCATCGACTAGGTCACTCTACGAATGCAAATGGGGCGTGTTTGAGCGCTGGTGCGCGGCTAAGCACGAGATTCCCTTTCAGTGTTCAGTGGCAGTTGTTCTATCATTCTTACAGGATTTGATAGACCAAGGGAAAGCATTTAACCATAAAAGTGTATTTGGCCGCTATTTCTGCTTGTCACATAGGGTTTGATAATAAAACCGTTGGGCAGCATCCTTTAGTATGCATGTTCATGAAGGGCGCGCGTCGCGCTTTACCAGTTTCAAAACCGCTTTCCCCTTCATGGGATTTAGCACTGGTACTTGATGCTCTTTCAATGTCCCCATTTGAGCCAATGGACGAGATCGATTTGAAAATATTGTCGTTTAAGACGGCGCTGCTGTTAGCCTTGGCTTCGGCGAAGCGCGTAAGTGAGATTCACGCACTTTCGGTGCATTCAGCATGTACAGTTCATGCCCGGGGATGCAGGGGTGGTTTTGAAACCTAATCCTGCATTTATGCCCAAAATAGTTAATTCTATCACTCCTTTGGAGTTAAGAGCTTTCTATCCACCAGCTTTTGCTTCTTCAAAACAGCAAAAGCTAAATAAGTTGTGCCCAGTGCGTGCTTTACGCATTTACATCGAAAGAACCAAAGGGTTCCGGGAGTGTGATCAGCTGTTCGTATCTTGGGTGAAACCACGTATGGGGAAGCCAATTACTAAGCAGCGTTTGTCGCACTGGATAGTGGAGGCGATTTCACTGGCATATTCCAGTAAGGGTCATGAGCCCCCGGCTGGTTTACGCGCACACTCAACAAGGGGAATGTCAACTTCTTGGGCCCTTTTTAAAGGAGTCACGATACAGGATATTTGCGAAGCGGCGAGTTGGTCCTCGCCGCATACATTTGCTAGGTTTTATAAACTGGATGTTACAGCTCAGACTTTAGCACATGCGGTATTGAGCGTTGGAGTTGAGTCATGACTCAAGACTCGTCCAGCCTGGAGGTGGTGCTGTGGTTGGCAGAGGACTTCGAGGCAGGCTTTCTGGCAATACGGGAGTTAGGATATCCCATAGTGAGACACCGAAACATATGCTTGAAAGAGAACAATAGGTTACTTGCGTAACCCCGGTTCTCTGATAGCATTAAGTGAGGTGTCTCACCAGATCACCCTCCTTGCTGTGTGAAGCGAGGAAGAGGTGTGCTTGTTTTGAATGTCGTAATGACGTTGTGCTGCTCCTCTTATACGGAGGGGTGGGGTAGCCACTCCCAGACACAGCGTCATGTCTGCCAGCCAATTGGGGCTGGCGTAATGTAATAGGGCTTCTGAGGAATACGCGGAAGGGGCGTATCCCATAGTGAGACACCTCACTTAATGCTATCAGAGAACCGGGGTTACGCAAGTAACCTATTGTTTTACATATAGGCTTCAGAAAATCGAGGAAAAGGAGTTTCCCCACTGCGTATAGCTACGCAATACTCATTCCCTATCTCAGGGAACTGAGGTTACGATAGTAACCGAGTAGTTTTTCAGGCGAGAAAGTAGTTTTTTAAAGCTCAAATCTGTGGTTTATTTATAGATTTATGATAATTTGAAGATCCATTCCAAGCAATCACCGGACGCTCGGCGCTCGTGCACCCCCCTTGGAGCAGCCTTTCCCCGGCTAGTCATTCTGATGTTTGCCGCTGACTCTGACGTCTCTGTAGTGGTTAAACATGAGATATAATTCGTCTTGTACAGACCTAACAGGCGATCTTTGGTCTCGTGAACCTATAATTCGTTCCCCGGCCATTAAGGCTAAGTGAAGTTTCATATATTTGAGCGCTGAATTTGTATATTTGACTGAATTGTTTGCTTTGTTAAAAGCTTTACTGTAGGCTATATCTTTTTGTACCTTTTACTTTTATAATGGCTATTATTGATAAAACTGAAATTCAACAAAAATAGATAGTTTTGTCATTTTTTTATTTTATTACAAGATCATCTGTAATGTTGTTTATTGCAACATTTGTACCAATACAAAATGCAATACATTGCCTGGAATACGTTTAATATTTTTACATTTAAACGAAAAGAGGCAGGGTTGTGTTTTATATTTAGTTTTGTTATAAATATAACGTTACATACATGCAGTGAATATAATCAATAGGCTATGCGTTGCCTGAACCACATTTGTGTGCTTATAATGTTTAAAATGTATTTAAATTAAATCGAAAAGAAGCAGAGTGGTGTTTTATAACATATTTCGTTTTATTGTTGCCTAAAATGTACACAACCGGAGTAGCAGAGCGAGCTGAGTGGCGCTTTCAAGAACGCGCTGTTCCATTAGCAGAATTACTGGACTCGCGTCCTCGGGATCATTCTCCTGAGTCGGACTTTGCGTGGCTACTTGGTATTGAGAAACGCCTAATGCCGGCGCTTGTTTCTTGTGACAAACATGCCGAGAAGCAAGAACAAGATCTGCTGTCTGCCATCCATTGTTGTTTACTATGTCGCTTTCTTCGCGCGAATATGACGTCGATCGCTTCTTTCCAGCAAACACCACGCCTATCAAGTAAGGGTACTGTTGGCAGTGGAAACGCAAGCCGGATCATGCTGTACCGACCCGACCCGACCCGACCCGTACTGTACCGTACCGTACGCCTCAGTGGAAACGAGCCATTGGTGTCCCTCTCTCAAGGTTCCTTTGTCTGTGATTTTGCCATACTGTTGACCACTTTCTACCTCTTCTATCATTCTTCTTTCTCTCATTGTTTGTTGCTTCATTGTGTTGTATATACATTTTATTCCATGTAATTGTAGTAACCGGTATACGTAGTTTCCTTTATTAAATACATTATATTCATTTGATTGACTCTGTCTGTTGCTCATATTACGAAGTCCCTTAAATATTCGATCAAGCTACGAGCTTTACAAATTTGTCGATACTTAAAGGCACACTATGCAGGAATTCTGTTTTTGTCAAACAGCGACCCCTAGAGTCGCTGTGGAGTACTTGTATTTAACGTTACTGTCGTAAATACCACTCACGCAGAGTGTCTCTGCACTCACGGCCTGATACCCCTTCGAAGCTGTTATATTAAGGTACAAATCTTGCATAGTGTGCCTTTAAATAAGAGATGTGTTTTTGAACTCAAGCTGAGCGCTCGTGTCCGCTGCTATCAGTGTCATGGACTTCTGATAGCAGTCTTCACTCAGACGCGCTCTTCAATCTATTGCCGTTGCAGAGACTATTCATTCCGGTGAAATCACAAAATAAAATGCACACAAACTTAGAAAGATTTACTTACTAGTCCATCAACAAGATCGCCAGGTCAGCATCACTGTTACATCCAGTGGTGCTTTTTAGCTCGCGCCAACAAGTGAAAAGCCCGACCGAGTGGGACTCTTGTCTGGTTCCTCACGCGGTCAGATTCTCTTTTCCTTTTCCTAGTCTCTTCCGACCGCGTTTTCTTTGCCCTTTCCATCGTCGAGTATCACGTCTGAAATGCGCGCAAGTGTCTTCGTGCTTCATATGTTGTTGTTGATGTGTGTGACGTCGGTGCCGTAAAGAATGTCGTGATTCTCGCAAGATTTGTCGGGGGCGCTCCTCTCAAATTTGCATAGCTGTTTTTTCCAGCGGCGTCCCCCCCCCAAGCTTTACTACCAGGATGATTCGCCCTACTATGAGTTTGTTTACCACTGAAATGACTTTGAAGCTGTTATATTAAGGTACAATTCTTGCATAGTGTGCCTTTAAATAGTATTTTTATAGGACAGGACAGTTAATCCTCATGGCCAGAGGAATAGCTTCTCTCGAACTTCTATAATAACTTTCATGAGGTTTGATGAAGATCGGACGATCAGTTTTGCTGGACAAAGCAGATTATTCGATAATAAATTGACCCCATGAAAGGTTATCCTGACAATCGATCTAATTTTAGATCTATACATGCGATTACTGGACATATTCATGACCAGTTATTAAAATTATATTCCCTTTATTTGAGCTGAAAATCATTACACATTACATTTTCAAATATATTAAAATAGAAAAAGTTATTTTACATTGTAAAACTATTTCAAAAGACTTCATTCAAAAACATTTTTTTTTTTAAATTACCAAACATTTGAACATTTTTGTTCATTTGTAACCTTTATAAATATCATGCTCTTTGTGAAATGAAACAGAAGAGATTAAGTTAGTGAAATAAATCCGACAAAACCGTTATTTAGATGTTCCGCTTGATAAAGACTGAGCGGGTTACACAATTTCAAATTGCAATTTAATGCCAGGAACATCAGACCATCATTAATTGTGCTGTCAAAGGATAAAACTCTTTAAGGCTGAACCCCCCCCCCCCCCCCGCAATATCCTGAAAATTCACTTCTAGAATATGTCAGATCTTACATTACGTCTTCAGACATCACTTTTTAATTATGCTGTGACTATTCCCGTCTATCACTCAAAGATCAAATTAACAGCACAGTAGATGCAAAATATGACAACAATGAAAAATTCCAGACCACAGGGATTAATTTAATTTAAACAAGATAACAATCCACATCTCAATGAATGCAGATAACAAGCCAAATCCATTACATACCATGCCAAATAGCTCCATGTCCATCCCATAGGGTCGCCAGAGTTTTCCTCGCACCATCCCACAGGTTATTGGAATAAGCTTCCCTCAGCTGGTTCTTGCGTTTGTACACATGGAGGAAGAGTATGGATAGATAGAGGAAGATAACTATAAGAAAAGGCAGGATGAAGACCACTGCTAGAGGTGTGAAAACCCAGACCAAATACTCCAAGAAACTGAGGAAGTCCTCGAGCTTCCCGAGCCCTGCCCACTCCTCCCACACATGAACTAAGCAGGAGAGGAAGTTGATGGATCCATTCTCAAACAGGCAGGACTCATTCCCACTGGACATGCTGCTTCACTGTTAGCCTCTCCCAGTGGCAGATGGGCTGAGCAAGGCAACACTCTGCCAAAGGGCAGACCTGGACATGAAAGACACAAATTGTCTGACATTAAGATCATGGCATTAAAGCTGAAGTGTACATTTTTATGATATGAAAAAAATGTTTTTTTCAAATCCCAGTTTAATATGCAGTCCCTCTTAACATGTATAAGATCATATAAATATTATAACAAGTGTGTGAATTACAGGGGGTTGGGAGTCCCCTAAAGGGGGCTGTTGTGGCCTAATGATTAGAGACTTGTAACCTGAAGGCTGTGGGTTAGATTCTCAAAAACCGTCAGGAAACGACTCAGATGCTCTTGAGCAAGGCACCTAACCCCCATCGCCCACTACTCCTGGTGTGTGTGTCCACGATTTGATGTGTTCTCACTGCTCCTAATGTATGTGCACTAACTTGGATGGGTTAAATGCAGAGTACAAATTCCGAGTATGGGTTACCATACCTTCATGTCACTTCACTATTCACTAAAGGCAGCTTGATCCCCCTGAAGGGGGTCAAATAAAGTAGTCTACCAGTAATATGCAGCTCTAACTGTATGAAGATAGGCTACATTTCTAGCGCTGACTGGTTTCAAATCGTAATTTCGGCCAGCCCTGAAATGACCATTAACATTACCTGAACTGTTAAATTAAATAGCCAATACTCATTCAGGTGACGTGCATTTCTTGCATGGATGAAGAACATAATGGCCTGGTTTCACAGAAAGAGCTTAGAATAAGACAGGATTAGGCCTTAGTTTAATTAGGACATTTAAGTAGCTTTTATAAACGACTCGTTAAAAAACATTACTGGTGTTCATCTTAAAACAAAGCAAGGGCACTGACATATTTTAAGATATTTTAAAACAGCTCAAACATTGCTTTTGTTTTTCAAACATGCATTTTAGGCTGAGACTAGCTTAAGTCTTGTCTGTGAAACCGGGGGAATGCATTTAAAACCGTTCAGTTGAATAACATTGCTCTCTTTAATACTGTTAAACTGTATGTACGACGCAAACTGTTTGCTGAAAATATCCACAGCTTACAACACTGAAAATAGAGTTTATCTGTCAATCGCGCGAGAACGATGCCATCCTTATTTCCCAAGTCACGGGACTCGACCAATAGCATGAGCTTGGGGCGGGGTTATTTGTTTGTCCAACAAATGGCAAATGGGTGACTGACAACAATCATCATATTTTCAACAAAGTTTAGAGACAATAATAGCGTCTAGAATTTACACACTTCAGCTTTAACTCCCAAGTCAAATTATAGTCATTTGATAGATTTAAAAAAAAAAACCTGTATCGAAAGAAACTATATTTAAAAACAACTCACGAACCTTCTCCAGCAGAAATATGTTTCTTGCCCAAACATACCAACCTCACATCGGTGCCCTAAAATGAAATGACATTGATAGCCAAGTTATACCTGCTCATTCACACTCAGTCACAGGTGAGACTGCAGTACAAACGTCATTTAAAATGTAAATGAACACTGTCGAATGCATGAAAGATATCAAGGAAAGGCGTAACTCTATTTTACGTTACACTTGAACATTGGATAACGATCATAGATAAACAAACCTTACAACCCCAAATTTTGCGTTTTTAAAACTGTCGCCAATAAATGACACTTCTTCTAAATGCCACGAAAAGCGAATGTTTTAGAAAAACCTTTTAAAATAAGCATTTCTCAAATCTACTTACATGACGATACCTCGATTAAATAGATACTGTTGCCCTCAATAAATGTTTTCCTTCTCGACTGAACCGGCTCTCTTTACATGTGACACAAACAGGAAACCCATCTCGTCAACGTCCGTTACTGTCCATAAAACTTCATAATAAAAGTCTAAGCCCTCATAAAAGCCATTTTAATTGTAAATGTATTGAAAGTCTTTTAACTTGACGGGCAATTTCCAAAACACGAGGGGGGAAACTCGCACAGCGTGCGAGTCTTAAACGTTTGTATAAAATTAGATCGATTTTGTAATGATTTTAATCTTCCTCGTTTTAATCCATCAGTATATTTATATATAGCTTCTCGCTGTCGTTTTTATTTGTAATGTCTGTGTAAAAGAGTGATTATTATAAGGTTTGTAGCAAAGTCTCGGGTAGATTCTGTTGACAGGTGTCACTCATGGTTCTATCAGTCTATTATGATCAATTACGGCAAGCTGAATGTTGTTCCTCTAGCTGATATCATCTTCTATCAGGGTGAAGAAAGAGAGATGACAATACATTGCTTGTGCTCCAGAGCTTACGTCAAGTATGTAACTTATTTGTGTTGAACAAGATTGCGTTTTGATCAACTGATATGTGTATGTGTGTGCCTTAGTGCGAAAGTTAGAATTTAATGCATCGATGCGTACCTGCTGAAAATTACTTAGCTGGTCTTAACTGGTCTGAGCAGCAGAAAAGTGTCTAAAAATGAGACAACAGAACACAGGCTAGACTGGTAGACCAGTTAAAGGGATAGTTCACCCAAAAATGAAAATCCTGTCATCATTTACTCGCCATCAAGTTATCCCAAACCTGTATGAATTTCTTTCTTCTGATGAACTCAAAAGAAGATATTTTGAGATTTTAAGATTTGACTAAACAGTTGATGGGCCCCATTGAATTTTTTTTTTTTTTTTTTATGGAAGTCAATGGGGTCCATCAACTGTTTGGTTGAAGAAATTCATACAGGTTTGGAATAACTTGAGGGTGAGTAAATGACGATGGATGGAATTTTCATTTGTGGGTGAACTGTCCCTTTAAGATCACATACCATGTCAACCTAGTGGTCAGTGTGACACACCCTTGGGTTTTCAGTCACTATCTGTCTGTTTTACTTGGAGCAGATCCATTTTTTCAGTTGTTGTCCTAATATGCAGTCCTGCTAAAAAACAATCAAGCATAGGATGGTTTCTTGCCTGTTTACTGATATCAAAACACATTTTCTCTTATTTTCATCCACAGTGATCGAGAATTATATCGGTCAGATTTTAAAGCCATTCTGAGTCAGACTGACAATCAAGGTACAGTTGTCCTGTTAATTTCTGATTATGGAGAATTATGACCCTTTGCATATCAACTAGCTGACATTGAATTTTGCCCAATGGTTCTCAACAAAACTTAAGATATTTTAAAATTATTTCAAATGAGACAAAACAAGCATTCAAATAAGCTAAAACAATTTAAAAATCAAGATATTTCTTATTTTAATTCACCCGCTCAACAACTGTTCTTCTCTTTGAAATAGAGTGATAGATTATGAGATTCAAAAAGAATCTCATAATCTATCATTCCTATTCTTATATTGAGTCTCATCACCAGGTGGTTACCCTGTATCCTTGATAAATGTTAAATTAAATTTTGCAACCTACATATTTCTAGTTCTGCTAAGCTGAGCTCTAAAATATTTTATCAGGTAGGAATTGTGTGTTAAAAATATATATATTTAAACAAAAAATTATCCTCAATCCGTATCCATTAAATTACAAGCAACAGGAAAAGTCATGGTGCCTTTGAATATTGTTTTTGACAACGGGGGTCCTTGGAGTCAAAAAGGTTGAGAACCTTGACGGTTTTTCATGATTTTCATCTGCAACATGTTATGGTCAGTTTTTAGCTTATAATGCTCAAATATCTACACTTTGGGTTTTTTGTTTTCAGTAGATGTTGAAGCTAATGATGGGGAAGAGCTTTTGGAGAATCCTAATCGTTTTGTGGATGAGGAAGAGGAGGAGGAGGAGGAGGAAGAGGCCATTGTTGATGAAGAGACCATGCTTATGGCCAGTTTGGGGCTTCCTGTGGAGTTTGCCAGCTCATCAGAACAAAGGAGAACTGTATGTCTGTTGGATGCATGATGACCTTGATGTTATTGGGAACTATGGCTGTCCATTTATGTGGGAATATTTCCTATTATTATAATATTCATTTAAAAATCCTTGCCCCAAACCCCCCAGCTCCATGTTGTCCTCCATACATTGGGGTCATGATGGTGTACTGACTACTGGCTAGTAGACTACTGTGATGCCCACACTAGTGTCTGCATTGAGCGTGCCTGTCAGCCACATAGGGGGTGCTCTTGAGCACATTTTTGTACCATGATTGGGACATATACTGTCTTGTGGACTTTAGATATTTATATACACTACCAGTCAAATATTTGGAATAATTAAGATTTATCATAACAATAATATAAGTATTTTAATGTTCACCAAGACTGCATACAAAGACTGCATAAAAAATACAGTAAAAAGTAATATTATTAAATATTATTACAATTTAAAATAACTTATTTTTGAATATGTTTTAAAATGTAATTTATTCCTGTGATGGCAAAGCTGAATTTTGTCACATGATTCTTCAGAAATCATTCTAATATGCTGATTTGGTGCTCAACTATTATTGCTGCTCAATTATAAATAATGGTTCTTATTATTATCAATGTTGACCATTTTTTGCTACTTAATATTTTTGTGGATTTTTATTTTTTTTAGAATTCTTTGATGAATGGAAAGTTCAATGAACAGCATTTATTTTAAATATAAAACTTTTGTAACATTCTAAATGTCTTTACTGCTACTTTTGAATGTAACTTTTACCCCAACCTTTTGAATGATAGTGTCTCACGGTTTCCAGAAATGTTTCTGAAGAAGCATCAAATCAGCATATTAGAATGATTTCTGAAGGATCATGTGACACTGAAGACTGGCATAATGATGCTGAAAATTCAACTAATTATCTTTTATAATGTAACCATTATCTTTGTGAGGATTCTGATACACCTGGCATTAACGTGCATTTTGTATTCAAATACTGTGTAGACATTCTTGAACTGGATTGTGTTGGCAAATAATGAAAAAAAGCGTTAGCATTTACACATTCGTCACACGTAGGTCAGTGGTCTGATCATAATGTGTCTCGGATACAATGTGTCTCAGGTTTATTTACACCTGGCTTTTTATATATGCACGTGTAAATGCCCAGACGTGAACCTGTGAGATGATGAAATGCCCAGACTGTGAGTCTTTGGATTATCCTGTGCAATGAAGCTTTTTTTGTAAATTGTCATTAAAGAATGTTAAGTTTTACCCCGTTTACTTTAGGAAATGACTTGGCTGTGGCCCAAAACTAATGATTTTGTCTCATTTTTAAGGGCCTAGCGAGACTGAAGAACAAAAGAAGCATCAAGCACTTGGAAACCCCCCCAGATTATGCCGACACAGACGAGGACTCTGAGCAGAAACAGCAGTGTGCTGTGAGTGACATCGCTGAGACCCCCGCTGAACTGACGTGTCCCATGTCAGAGGTGGCCTGGCTGAGGTACTGGGAGCAGCACGGGGAGGGTCTGCTGTGGCAGAGCTGGCTGGAGAAACATCCCAAAAATTCCAGCAGTACAGCGCAGGAATGTTCCCGCTCGGAGGCAGACTGGGACGAGCACTGCCAACAAGCATACCAGTACTACTGGGAACAGTTTCACTACTGGGCCGCCCAAGGCTGGACGGTGGACGAGTCCTATAGCACAACCACTGCTTCTGAGGAAGATCAGGGCAGCCGAGGAGAAACAGAGGAACTCAAGAATCAGACGGAAGAAAGATTGAAGGCGAACGCAATCAGCGTTGCAGATCTCATAAGCAGCCTGAGCTTATTGACTGAGGAAGTTGACAGCGATGATGGCGACCAGCAGTCTTTGGTCTGTAACTGTGCTGATGAGCCCTGTGATGGTGGAAGCCGCAAAAGGTCATCTTCACGTAGAGGCTGCACTGACACTTCGGGTTGGTGCATGTATTTTCAAGACCTCTTTGTTTATTAGCTATGACTGTGGTGTTCCCGCAGTGATGCTAAACCCAAATATGTCAACGCCTTCCTGCTCCATGACCTACTTTCAGCGTATTGAATCTAGTGCAGATGTAATATAAGTTAAGATTTATTCTGTCAGTCACAGCATGGGCCCATTGTGTGCGTTATATTTTCTGCCTTTCAGAATTACATAATGACGTATTTTTAAACTCATTAGAAATAAACAACATAGAATAATTGAATGGTTATTAACCACCCCCTAGCATTGACATGCTTAAACTACCATCAAAATAAAGGGATAGTCCACCCAAAAATGAAGGTTCTGTCATTTACTCACCCTCATGACTTTATTTCTTCGGTGAAACAGAGAAGATATTTTGAACAATGTTGGTAAACAAACAGTTTTGGTGACCATTTACTTCTATTGAATGGACAAAAAACACTGAAACATTTCTTAAAATATCTTCTTTAATGTTCCACAGAAGAAAGAAAGTCATACAGGTTTGGAATTGCATGAACATAAATAAAATTACAGAATTAAAAAAAAACAGAATTGTCCCTTTAAGTAGGTGGGCTCCGATATGTACATTTTTGCTGATACCGATAACCGATAAATCTTTATATTTGAAAGCCGATAACTGATATATTGGCCGACAATTTTCAATCCAAATTTGTATATATTTTTTTAAAAGCCTGATTAAAAGATTGTCCCAAGCACACAATTATAATGTTCTCAATATAATTTTATGTAGCCTATGTGACAGAATTGCGCTGCACATATTGCACTTCACTGTATTTTCCTTTTTCAAGTGATTCCAATTATATTTCAAGCTATTCAAAACCATCATGGCAAACAGTGCGCATCTCAGCTGAAGGAAATAATCCATTATTTATCTGCTTTAATATATATTGGCCAAATTTTGTTATTAGGTTGATAACAATAACATTAAAAATAAACATATATGGGCCGATACCGAAATGGTGGCCGTTATATCGTACATCACTACCTTTAAGTATCTTTGTACCTTATGCATTTATTCACACATTTTTGCATATTTTAAAGAGCATATTTAGAGTATTGATTGTGTTGATGAGAGGAAGAAATAGCAAACCTGCATTTTGGTTTCTTGCTGTAATAATAAAATATAAAAATCCAAGTTGAAGAACACTTTTTATCAGCCCTGTAGAGGATCACAAAGTAAGAAAATTATCAGTTAGAGGTGGTTGTTTAGTTTTTTTGTTTTTTAAAGTCTTTTAACTTTTTGTAATCAGATGTATTTCAGATAAAACAAGAGGGCTGGTTGCATGGGTAAAAAAAAAAAAAAGTAACAGGGTTGCAAAAGTAAGAGGGAAAAAACAAGGCGTGTATTAGGCAAGTAAAAAAAGCAGACAATTAAGGTGTCATGTTGACTTTTTTGACTCCAACCTTTTTTTTTTTGGTGTTGGCCTGCTCAATATGCTCTGATGGAAACAGCTGTGATCATGATGTCATCATCGCACTGTTGGAATCATCAGGATATCAAGCCACAATTCTGTTCGCTCAATGACAAATGCTCAATGTGTAAAAGCAGATCGTTTTCCCCAGAGCTCTTTTTTTGCATCCTAAGCTTGGCTCTGCCTGAATGTTTAATGCATCACATCAAAAGATGTCAGATGTTGAATGAAAGGAGCATGTGACTTTGGCCTATGCATTTTTAATGTCTGTACATGTGAAGAGCGCAGGCTCCCGGGTGCACGAGTTGATCACAATCCACTCGCAATCGCTCTAAAAATGGCTCTTGTCATCCTGATTGGCGGGCCATGACTGATGCCATCTAAACAGCAGCCTTTTTTGTACCGCTGGAACGGCTCTTATGCCGTATACATCAGGCAGTTTAAGACTCAGACACGTTTTCTTATAATGATAACGTAGCTATTATTTATAGTAAACTGAAAGTGTGTGATTTCAGATGGCAACATGAAACAGACCTCTGCGCCGTTGAATAATCGGAGTGGACAACCCGTAAAGAACAGATCTAACAATGAGGATCAGAGCGATGATGATGATGAACCTCCAGGGAACAGACGAACTAAAGTGAAGAGAGCGTAAGCTGTCGATGTGTTATTCAGTACATTGTATTGTATCAGACTTGCATGCTTAATGTTTATGGTTTCATGGTATAGTTCTGCAAGAAAAAAACTTATTTTGTCATAATTGTTTCACTGATTTCATTCCAAATCTATTTGCTGTTATTTTTTTCCATGGAACAACAAAACTAAACATTTTAAAATAATAGTTTGTTACACAGCACTTGCCATACAATGACAGTTCATAGTGACCAGGGGCTGTCAAACTGTAAAAACTTTCCAAAAAACACAAAAATATTATGTAATAGTGGTCCATGCAACCCATTTGCTATATTCCAGGTCTTTTAAAGTCATGATTTAAATATACACTACAGCTCAAAAATTTGGGGGTCGGAAAAAAAAAAAATTCAGCATGGATGCATTAAATGATCGTAGTAACTTTAAAGACTTTTGCTGCTCTGTTCACAGTCATGAGCTGGATGCTGAGGAGCTTGCGGAGGTGCCGGTTGAGGAGGCGTGGGACGTTCTCGGCCTGAAACGTAGTGCCCAGCCTAAGTAAGAACCCAGACAGAGGCTAGACACTGTTTTACTGCTTTGAAAATAATCAGGGGCTCTGTTAACATCCAAATGCTTTTTGTCTTGGCAGGTTTGACAGCGTTGTGAAGCTGAAACCAGTCCAGGGTCCATACGCGGGCAGGAGGAGTGAGAACAGAAAGCCCCCTGAGGAAAGAAAAAAAGCAGCCTGCAAGATCAACAAGCACATCTTTTTTACTGATGATGGACCACAAACCACAAAGCCAAAGACCAGCAAAGCCCTTCAAAAAGTGAGTCGGTTAATTTTTAAAGACATAATTCACACAAATATTTAGTCAGGAGTTTTGAGGAATGTTCACACTGAGCAAAGGCATACAGGAACCTAGCAAGGACAAATCAAGCTCCAAATATGCCATCTGGTTGTTTTGTTTCACTGTTATCACAAAGTTCAAATGTGAAGGTAAAAAATTATAACAGAATTTTCATTTTTGGCTGAACTATTCCAATATGTTTTGTTTAATCATTCTTTAGTTTTGTCTTAATTTGCCCAAACAGCTGCATCAGGTCAGCCAAAGACAACTTTGGATTTTAGGGCTGCAGTGAAGTAGATTAGATTTAAAAGCTCTTGGGATGCAGTATTCTAATGAAAACTTTTTAATTATAAAAGTTGAAAAAAAAAAATGAAAACAATGGCATTTACCCATATACCCTATCAGTTATTTCTCACTGATAATGAACAAAGAAATAAATTAAGAGCAATGAATGCAAGGCCTATGCACAGAGCTGACATTAAAATAAAAAAAGTTCTTATAGTAAAGTACTTTTTTACATTAACAAAAGACAAATTGACTGTTTACCTCGCAGAAATGGTATTTTTATTCACATACACAGGCATATTACTTCAAGATACAATACTGTTCAAAAGTTTGGTGTCGTAAGGTTTTTGAAAAGTTTCTTATGCTCAACAAGGCTGCATTTATTTAATCAAAAGTAAAGTAAAAACTGTAATATTACATTTTAAAATAACTTAATAAATTCTGTCTCAGATGTCACATGATCCTTCAGAAATGGTTCTGCTGAATAATATTTTTGTGGAAACTGATACATTTTTCATGATTCTTTGGTAAATAGAAACATCAGAAGAACAGCGTTTATTTGAAAAGGAAATCTTTTCTAACATTATAAATGTCTTTATAGTCACTTATGATCAATTTAATGCATCCTTGCTAAATAAAAATAATATTTTTTTTGTTCAAAAAAATTCTGAACCCAAACCTTTTAACATATATTACCAGTACCAATGAATGGTATGTTTGTTTTTTGTTTTTTTAATACTGAAAATTTTGATATCTCTGTCAGATATGTTTTTAGAGACCTTCTGGTGGATAAAGTTGTCACTATTTTATTATGCAGTTTGTAGTCCTTCATGCTTAAGATCCTCTATACCTCTAGACAACCAAATGTATGGTCTAGATTTGATTGAATTACTTATAAAAAATAAAATAAATCGGAAATAAAAACCTCACAGATATCACAGGTGTTTATGTAGCCTAGCTAAATAACATACAGCTCAAAGAAAATAGGCCTAAATAATACAAAAAATAAACAAACATTAAACATACTTAACGAATGAATTAAATAATGAATCACTGGTTTATGAAGAGAATGTTACTGATCAACTGCGGTGAACTTCATTTATTGACTCTTTTCTTGCTGTATTTTCTGATCGCCCACTCCCACTCGCAGATAAGGTAAAACCGCCCTCTCCAGCGAGATTTGCGTCGGGTCCCGCGGTATCCCAATCCCAATGTAGTCCTCTAGTATGGTCCTCAACTGCAGTACTTCAACTGAACGATGAAATGCGTATGTTTGTGTTGTTCCCTGAGGTTTTATTGACACATGGATTTTGTGGGATTACATGTAAGATGTATCATTCTGGTCGCCTTACTATGGATCAGTGAAGCACAGTGTAAATTGTTCAGAGTTGTGTGTGTGTGTGTGTGTGTGTGTATGAGAATACAATGGGCAATGAGCCAGAAGCGGTGAGGCTGACACTTTATGCACTCTGCACAGAGCTGCTTCATCTACCCTCACCCCATCCCATCACAGCGCTGTCCTGCTTACTGCACGCTGTCAGCTCCCGTCAGACAGACAGACCGCTCTAACCTCCAGTCTCACCCCTGACACTAACACACACGTTCCCAGCTGTCAAACACACACAGGACAGGTTCAAACTTGGTTACTGGCATGTTGAATATTCAAGAAGAAAAGAAATGAATTGTTTTCTTCAACCAAGTGCATCTAGTCATCTTCTAAATGGACTTTTTCAAGGTGGATCCCCTTCACCCCACTGAATTTTAGCCAGTAAACAGACTAGACCAATTTACTGCAGTGCTCTAGAATCGATTTCTCTGTAGCACAAATTGATCTGGTGGAAGACGAAAACTTTACTGCAACAGACATTATCACCAGTATCTTTTCAGGCTGGATGCTTAAACAAGGCTTTGTTGGGGCTTCCTTTGAGCACATTGAGTCCTGCATTTCTACTGCCTGATCCCAGACTTTTTCATTCCAAGGATCCATCAGATTGAATTATGTAGTTTTTATTATAATGTAAGAATCGTATTTGTCTGCCTCTTTAAGCTACTTTGCTGGAAAAAGCCTTTGGTGGAGATAAATCAGTAAAATAAATATTTCAAGGACTTTGTGAGGGTTCCTGAAATGTACACTACCATACACTACCAAATGTTTTTTTAATACTAATACTTTATTAAAGATTTTTTTTTTTAGCAAGAACACATTAAACCAAATCAACATGGATGCATTAAATTGATTAAAAGTGACAGTAAATATTTTTACATTGTTAACTTTTACATTCTATTTCAAATAAATGTTGTTCTTTTGAACTATTGAATATCAAAGTTTCCTGGGGGGAAAAAACACTATCATGGGCCCCGAAAATATTAAGCAGCACAATAGTTTTTCAATATTGATAATCAGTGTTGGGGAAAGTTACTATGAAAAGTAGTGCATTCAAATATTGCGTTACTCCCTTAAAAAGTAACTAATATCGTTGCTTAGTTACTTTTTAAGAAAAGTAATACGTTACGTTATGTTGCTTTTGCGTTACTTTTTCTCACTTGGGCTGAGCTTGTTTTTTTTTATTACAAAAATCTATTTTTGGGGGGCAAATGTAAAAATGCCCTGTTACACCAAAATTGAACTAATAGGGCTGAAGGAAGTGCAAATTCACGAGTGTACAGTAGAGGGCGCAGCTCAAACAAATCTTTCATGTGTGCTGCCATTCTGGATAGCAAAGGCATAGGATGCAGGAGAAGAAAGTTCAACACTTACTTCAGTAATACTAAGTAATTTTTGCTTATGGTTTCACTGAATCATCGAAGGGCAGCACCAGCAAGTACATTGTTCAATAAAGTGAGATCAAATGCATACAAATATTTATTTTATTTTACGTGTTTAATTATTGGAGGTTTGCGGCGTAGTATTCTGATTTTGCATTTCACTGGTTTTATTCATTTTGAGGAATACTGAATCTTTTTTTTGTGCAACTGAGATTAGAAAAAGCATGCTCACATTTAGTCTAGAACTACAATCACACACAACGCCTCTGCACTTACTCACGATTTTTCTCAACATGGGGACAAGAGAGCTCTGTCAATAAATGGGAATTTTTTCATTGTTCTTATTTGAAAAAGTAACGCAGATATTTTGTTGTACATTTAAAAGTAATGCTTTACTTTGCTAGTTATTTCAAAAAAGTTATCTGATTACGTAACTCGAGTTACTTGTAATGCACCCCAACACTGTTGATAATAATAAGAAATGTTTCTTGAGCATCAAATCAGCATATACAAATGATTTCTGAAGGATCATGTGACACTGAAGACTGAAGTAATGATGCTGAAAGTTGAGGTTTGTCATCACAGCAATAAATTACATTTTAAAATATATCATAATAGATAAGTTATTTTAAATTGAAGTAATGTTTCACATAATTGTTCTTGATCTAATAAATGCAGCCTTAGTGAGCATAAGAGACTAATTTAAAAAAAGAAAACGAGTGTATATAAACTACTAAAAACAGTAGTGTATATTTTTCCCAATATTAAAATATAAGATAAACATTTCTGTCTGAATTAGCCCTTTTAATAATAAATATTGTTCAAAAGCCCATTACAGAAAATAGTGGCGTACAACTAGTGATTAGACTGTGGTGTGAAGTATTTGGGTTTGTTCCTTCCTATAAAAGCTGTACGTTCACTCATACCCTCACAGGTCCAGAGTTTCCTGCAGAAGGTTCAGACTGATGCTGTCTCTGAGGAGCTGACCCCGGCCTCTATGCCTGAAGCTCCGATCTGCCCATGTGAGAGAGCGGACGAGGGCAGTTTACCTACACGAAACGAGGAAGAAGCAAACAATAAGATAGATGAAAAAGAGCGTGAGAAGACTCCTGAGCTCAACAGAACATGTGAAAAAAGTGAGGAACATCAGCAGAACATTCAGTGTGTCTTCATGCCAGAGCCAGAAGAAATACAGGATGATGATTCCGATCCCAGAGGAGAGCTGCATTCCTTAGACGTCCCTGACTTCTTGCTCCCAGATGCTCCTGAGCACACCGAGGGAGGTCAGCCTCAATGTGCTCTGATACAAATGAGATAATCACTGGCTGTGCTCCTATAACATACAAGCCAATGATTAACACAGTTAGGCTTCTCATTTGGTGTTCACTGGCAATTTGATATGCTCACACTGTTTTCTTTCCCAGCAGAGAGTGTGCAGGCCTTTAAAAAGAACAAGAGAAAGAACAGGAAAAGGAGAAAAGATGTGGAGATGCCGCCTGAGATTGCAGCAGAACCTGAGCTGGCCAAGTACTGGGCCCAGCGCTACCGTCTGTTTTCCAGGTTCGATGAGGGCATCAAACTTGACCATGGTGAGTCAGCACAAAGCCACCATCTTTATTTTAGGAAAGTCATGAATTCATTTAATTTATTTACATTTACTTGTATTCGTTTAGCAGACTATTTTATCCAAAGCGACTCACAAATCATTGCTAACAGCATCAGGGACATTAAGTTATATATTGTGAAAATGTGTCTTTTGATGATGTTTTGTATGATGTTTTATTACCTTAGAAGTTAATATGAACTAAGAATGAACAATACTTCTATAGCACTTATTAAACTTAGTTAATGTTAATTTCAGCATTTACTAATACAATTATTAAAGTGTATTAGTAAGGATTTTTAAAGTGAGGGCAAGGATTTTTTTGGAATAACATGCACCAATGAATCCTTCACAGTAAGACCTGTGGATTTAAATAACAAATAGAGAGCACGCTGAGAACTGCGGGACGGAGCAGGATGAGATGTATTTGTGAGGTTGTACAGCTGTAGGTGTGGGCTGAGCTGGCTGTGTCTGCAGTGTGTGTGTGCTGACACGGAGCCCCTCGCCCATACCTTCTGCGTCAGACTACAGAAAAAGAGAGGGAGCAAGTGAGAGCAAGACGGCAGGCAGCTTTTAGGGCGCTCAGGAGAGCACTCTTTTTTTTCCCCATGCTACTCTTTGCTCAAATAGAGTGCTCAGCCTCAGAGGAGGACAACCTTTAGCTCTGGTGCTTTACCTGTGTTCTCTTCTCTACTGTTAAAGTGGGTCACTCCCTTAATAGATACAGTATATTAAACTAGGCATAAACCTGCTTGTTAAATGCTTTTCGCTTGTCTGAGTTTGTTTTATATAAAGAATTTATTTGTTCCTTTATACCAGTGTTTCCCAACCCTGTTCCTGGAGGCACACCAACACTACACATTTTCCAACTCTTCCTAATCGATCACACCTGAATCAACTCATCAGCTCGTTAGTAGAGACTCCAAGACCAGAAATATATGGGTCAGATAAGGGAGACATCCAAAATGTGCACTGTTGGTGTGCCTCCAGGAGCAGGGTTGGGAAACACTGCTTTATACTATAAAGAGATCTTATTTGCCATTTATTATTTGTATAGCTTGAGCATTTAATGTGGCAGGCAACAAAATTGCAGCGCATGCTTATAATATGTTATCGTGAGTTGGTGTGGACGCTAATATAGTTATTGTTAGTTCCTTTTTTATGTGAACGGGCCTTAATTCATTACACAGCGAAAAATGATATCTTATATGAAGTTATAAATATTCTTTGACAAAAATCCTTGAGAATTGATTTACTTGAGATTTACTTCTTATATGAAGTTATAAATATTCTTTGACAAAAATCCTTGAGAATTGATTTACTTGAGATTTACTTGAGAAGCAACACTACATAAGATATTAAGACTTGTTTTCATAGATTGTATCTTTAATATAAGTGTTATTTGTCTTACTGCACTGGCAAAAAAACTTTTGTTGTTGTTTTTACTTCAAATAAATATCTGCCAGTGCAGTAAGACAAAACATTCTTCTGAATTAATTAATTAATTAATCGTGTATTGTAATTGAAACATGTATTTTCTTAATGATGTATTATTTGAAGCTTTAATATCTTTGGCAGGGTTGCTTGATAATTTCATCTTGTTTTAAGGATTTTTTTATGAAATAATAATTGGAAATAAGATTTTTTTTGCATTTGCATTACAAATTTAGCATTTATAAATTAATTTTTTGTATTATTTAGCATTAGCAATGCCTTGGAACCACCTGCATCGTAGGATCATGGCGGCAACTTATGCTAAAGTACCACTAACATTTTGGTTAGAAAATGTAAAATGTACTTTTTAATGTTAAAAGATTTGCTCCCTGTCAAGTAAGTCAGTTTTGCTGTTAAATTTGATGGTGCAAAAACCATAGTTTTGGTGTAGGATTTAGTTTTTAATAGGGCTGATCTTGGGAAAGATGCCTTTTAACATCAGCACCAAAAGTCAAACGGTTTTCCTTCTTGTTCCATAAAAAGTCCCGTTATTTGGGATTTGAAAATCTTTCCTCACGGACGGCGGATTTCCCTTTTAATTCTTTTAATCCCTGACTAATGTGTTTTTATACGTCTCTCACTTTCGAATCATAACTCTTTCACTAAGCATCTGGAATTCTGTTTGAAAGTGAGATCAGAGCCTCGTATCTATTCCCTTATTCATGTCAACAGAGGCAGTAGCCCATAGACATAATGAGCCTCTTTTCCTTCAGCACTGCCTGATTAGAAAGAGGAGAGCGAGAACGAGAGGTAGATCAAGAGCGTGGGCTGAATTTTGTAACTCCTACACCTCCATCCAGGCATTGCAGATTCCAAGTCAACATGAACTGGCATACACAAACCATTTAACTTTCGCAATGTAAAAAATGTCCGTATGGAGCTATTCTGTGAGACTTAGGTGATGTCAGGCAAAAAGGAAAGTTGTTTCAGTGATGGAGAAAGGTACTACATTTTAATGAAATACTTTTTTAGTTCTGATGAATTGAGCACAATAGGACCAGGAATGTGTGTTCAATTCTGTTTTAATGTTAGGATTTTAAACATTCTATTCTCAGTTGTACTTTTGTCTGTTTAATATTTCATACTTTTAATTGTCCTTTTTTTCCCATTCAAATTAATGGCATGTCATTCTGTCACTTAGAAAAAAGTCAAACTGCAGTGGACACACTTGATATTGAAAACTATATTTTTTTTACAACACTTTAAATGTAGCTCATAACTTACAGTATATAATGTGCCATCACGGAAAAAAAATTATAATTGCAGTTATTTAACTTAAGTCCCTTAAAATATGACAATATTCAAAGATCAATGTAATCAAAAATAATATTTATTTAAAAAATCAATATAATAATTTACGTAGAAGCAATTCTCACATATTTAAATGTCATCGTGTTAACACAATGTAAAAAAAACAAAAAGCAAAACATTTTAAAGGGCTATTTTGAAATGTCAGTGGCCTATTTTTTTTATATTGATAATTGGTTTTGCATCTCTTCTGTCCTGATCACAAACTTAACCATAACATTTGTCAGTGATGTTACTGGATGAATAAAAAAAACATGTTTAATAAGGTTTTTTCTTATAACAAAAAGAACTGAGCATATAAAACAATACACAAAAAAAAAGTAATCAAATGCTTTAAACAGATTAAAGTGCTGAAGAATTATAAAGAACAATAGGTAACACTTTACAATAAGGTCTCATTAGTTAACATTAGTTAATGCATTAACTAACATTAACAATGAGCAATAGCTACATTTGTTACAGAAGTTATTATTCTTTGATAACATTGGTTAAAAAATATCATATGATCAACTGATCATTATTAGTTTAAGTTAGCTCAGGTTTTGATTTGAATAATATATTAAATGTTGAAACTAACATTAACTAAGATTAATAAATGCATTAGAAGTATTTTTATTGTTAGTTAATGTTAACTAATAAATGAATTAATGTTAACTAATGGAGTCTTATTGTATAGTGCTGTGACGAGCACCATTGCGAATATAAAAATATGATTGACTGTTTAAAACATATGAATACGCCATAGACAGTATAAGAAATGGACAGAGCCATCTCATTGGAACTCAGTTGAGACAGTTGAAGCCCATTTTTAGCGATTTCTGAGCACTTCCGTTCCTGACGCGCAGACTCAAACCGACTCAAACTAAGCTTGATGACGTGAGCAACCTGTCTGACAGACGTTAATCTTCTAGTAGCTGTGCGTGAAAATTTCCAACGTTAATCTTGCAGAGACGGGGAACTTGAGCAAAGAGTTCTTTGGCGTGAGTGAGCAGGAGTAAGTATTCCGTTGCTTTTATGGACTCATTATCTATGGGCTTCTCCCTTGACGGGACGTCCCCCGATTGCCTGCGAGCTTCTCCTCCTGTCTGTACGGTAATTTCTGTACAGCGCGACAGAGAGTCGAGTGGTTATGACGCAATCGTTAGCCTATTTTTACTAAATCTGTTTCTACGGGGCCATAATGTAACATAGAAGGTAATGGAGCCCTTTATACATTGTCGTGTTTCTTTAGAAATAAATAATGGACAAATGGAGTCTTTAAACGCCTCAGATGTAAAGTTATTCGCTGTCAAAGTGACGCCAAAATGAATGGGAGTCAATGGAAATGCTAACACAAGTGAAGTTCTGCTACAACATGGCGGCACCCGGCCGGCTTCAACTTCCGGTCGATGGATTACCCCCTTGGAATAGAGGGAATGCATTAACGTCACTTCCCCGCCGGAACACGCCCCCCTCAGCGGGACTGAGTGGCAGAAGAGCTGCTGCGTGACTGGAGTTAATAGGGGAAACTGCGTTAACGCGAGTAAAACGAACTATTATCAGTTTAAACTAAAAGTTGGACTCGATATAGTGTTCCTTACAACTTATCAAAGATCCAGTGATCCATGGATATTGACATGCAGCCAGGAATCGTGTTTCCTGACATTTATATGTGCCTGATTTCGACGCCGGGGAAATAAATGAAGACAATTTGCCTGAAAACGTTTTATATAAATACAATATAGATAGGTCTAAATCCGAGTGATCACTTACATTAATGTTATACTGTATATCATCATATCGTCCAGCCCTAAAACTTGTATAGTTTTTTGTCAGTTTATTTAAAAACATCCAATTATGCAGAATATAGTCTGTTCTGTAGCTTTTTGCAGTCTGTAAAAATATACAGTACCTCAGATTTCTGGTCAAATCTAGTTGTACAGTCAATCGCAAAGCTCTTTCCCGTTTTAGATGTGTTTTGTGTGATTTTCACGGCATTCACGCTGAAAACAAATGCTGCCGCTCAGTCTTTTTGCCACTTGTGGGCGTGACCGCATTCACTCCGGCCGACGGTGACGTCATGCGCATACCCTCTATACGCTGATTTCACGCAGCCGCCATTTTGAAATGGCTCCGGTGGGAAGATAACCGGAAGTGCCGCCTTTAATCACAAAAGAGTCGTGAATGCGATGGCGTATTGTTGTTTTAATGTAAAAATGAGTTATTCTAAAAATGTACATACATTTCTTTCATACTTTAGACTATATACAGTGAAAATCATTTATAATTTTTTTTTAATATATATATATAATTTAGAAATTAAAAAAAGAAGCAGGAACAAACTATATACATATCCTATATTTGATATTAACATCCAATAGTGTAAATCGCGGCAGCAGCTTCAGGTTGGTAGTCCAAGGCATTGTTGTTTATCTTTACTTCCGGGGTTCTTCCCACCAGAGCCTCTCTTTCGATTTCAAAATGGCGGCTGCGTAAAATCAGCGTATTGCACGTCAACACGGACAACGACCACAACGCAGAAGTATGAAAACCGACGCGTACAGCGGCGTAGGTCCGACACAGAAGTACGAATCAATCTGCCATTAGTGTTGTTTACATCAGAGCATGCCTCTTTGATGCAGCATTTAAGCATTATCGTACGTTTTATCCGGTTGATGGAAAAATATTCTTAAAATGCATTCTAAAAATCGGAATAATTTTAATAGATAATTATTCACGGTATTTTAAAGTACCCATGATAACAATGCAAGTTCATTGTCATGATATACTGTATTACCAATACCATATATCGGCACATGTCTAATTGTGACTTTACAGTATATCTATATATAATTGTATATCTACAGTATATATTTGAAAGAAGATACAATAATCAATATAGCATGGTATGTTTAATGTAGGATTGATCTTTTTCAGATGAAAATGTCACTGCTATTGTAAAATGGCACTAATGAAAGTATTAGTACTTTTTTATTTATTAGTAAAACACATAGTTTTGATTTTCTTCCTATTTGTAAGCTTGTAATAGAAAATTAAGGTCGCACTTGTGAGTTCTCTTTACTCGAGGGCACCTGTACAGCCGCCCGCTGTCCTCACACTGTAAACAGGAAGTGCTGAACGTGGTTTGCTCCAGACTAGTGATTGTTACTTTAGCAGGTGTTCTATTCTCAGTGGAGAGAAAAATACGAGAGGCGGAAAAACAGAGATGCGTTTGTAGAGGCTAAAAGCAGATGGTGTTGGTCTCCACAGAATCAGAAGAGGACATGCTCCGTTTAACTCCACTCTCTCTGAGCTCTCTGACTGCTTCTGCTTCAGCTCAAATGCAGCACCTTTAAATGATGAACATCCAGAGAACGAGATCCAGGAGTCTGATGCTAGTGTCACAGCTCTAGTTTGCAAGTATGATGAAATGTTTAGAGATACAGCAGGAGTCTTATCTTGAACATATTATATGGTTTTGTACTGCTTCTCTTAGAAATATATGGTTTTCTGGCATCCCATGATATAGGAGTGATTGCTGATATTTTAAATTTCATAGATATCAGCTAGATCATCCTTTTGTCAACAGAGGCTCCTCCTAAAATGGAAATAGCTATATATTTAGAGAGGGAGAGACAGTCTTTGACGTAAGCAGAGCCATGCTTCAGGTCTTCAACTAGAAAATGAAAGCTACAGACTCCCTCTGGTGGTAAACAATTCTACCACATTTGCAATAAAAAGGAGCATTTAGGTGCATTTAATTCTAATTGGAATAGTATTCTTAATAATCTTAATACAATGATGCAAAAAAGAATGCATGAACTGATAAAAGCCTTTTCATTTGAATTATGATGTGCATAACATGTGACTGTGTTCTGTCCACAGAGGGCTGGTTCTCAGTGACTCCTGAGAAGATAGCAGAGCACATTGCTTTGAGGGTGCAGGACAGCTTCAGCGCGGAGCTCATTATCGATGCCTTCTGTGGTGTGGGTGGCAATGCCATTCAGTTTGCCCTCACTGGGAAAAGAGGTACAGTTGCCTTTCATACTGCCACAGAACCATGTCAGCACAATCCTACCATGCTAACACCCATATGTTGGTTTCCATTGTCTTGAGAAACCATCTGAAAATCTTTTTTGAGATATGAGATTTATAACAGTTTTGACATCTAAAAATGTGTTTTAAAAACACATTTCCATAGTGCAGGGTCTATTAATTTATCCAAAAATACATTGAAAATGCAAAGCACACATGTGTATATATATATATATATATATATATATATATTACATTTCCAAATTAAAATTAATTTAGATAATTTAGGATCTTTCGTAATTCGTAATATTCAAAATTTATCAATATTCACAATATCTTAAAAAAACATGCTCACCAACATGCCATTTATTTGATCAAAAATACAATTAAAAACAGTAATAATGTGAAATATTATTATAATTGAAAAATAACCTCTATTTTAATATATTTTAAAATGTAATTTATTCCTGTGATGGCAAAGCTGAATTTTCAGCATCATTACTCCAGTCTTCAGTGTCACATGATCCTTCAGAAATCATTCTAAAATTCTGCTGATTTGGTGCTCTAGAACAGCCTTTCTCAAAGTGGGTGCCGCGGCACACTGGGGTGCCCCCTGACTTTGTCAGGGGTGCCGCCAAAAAATTACGTAGGCTAAAAATATATATATATATTTGAATTTACATAAATACATTCTTCTTCTTTTTAAACATATGAACGTATTAATAAAATTGTAAATTAATTTTAGATAAATATATATATATATAAAATTAACCATAAAAAACCAAAAAAACAAGACCGAAGCAAGACACACACACAACTTGACGCAAGTGACGCAACCCATAGCAACGCGTTATAGCAACAACACCGACCGCGCGTCACACAGCAACTGCAGGCTCTGACAAACACACATACAAACTATACTATACTTCTGCATAACGTGTCTCTTTTTACAACAAAAATGTGAATTCTGCCGGTATTCAGACAGTCCCATGCATACAGATACAGATCCGGCCTACAATCGCCTACGTAGGCGAAATTTGTTTGACATTTCTAATCGTAAACACAGCCATGTTGAAGCCTGCAGTAATGTTTTTCATTGATGTTATGGCAGTCCACTCTGCTTATTGTTTTTCGAGAATCTTGCACTCCTGTTTGTCATTGTGCACGAAACTTCATGCCAATAAATCATCAGAAATATTGCTGACTTGTGCGCGTCTCAAGCGCGTTCTTTACGCTCGTGCTAATGCCTGTTAGTTGTCCGTGGATTTGCCTATATTTGGCGCTGAAAATGGAAACGTCCTTAGACATGGAAAATCGATTTTACAATCGATTCAATGAACGTTTATGTCTCAAAAATCGATCAGGATTTTTTCACAAAAGTGATAGCCCTGTAAAGTTGTTATTATTATTGTTATTTACAGTTCGTATTATGCTCTGTTCATTACTGTTCTGTCTAAATAAACAGGACATTTGCATTTTCATTTGGGTTATTTTTTAATTTATATTTTACACTGGGGTGCCTTGAGATTTTATGCACTTTTGAAAGGTGCCCCGACTGAAAAAAGTTTGAGAAAGGCTGCTCTAGAAACATGTCTGATTATTATAAATGTTGAAAACATATTTCTTTCTTTTTTTGACGATTGTATACTCGCATGTATTCAAGGTGTTACTTTTTACTTGATGGTTACACCACATGACACTTTTAGAGTCATTAAATTGAACCCTTTTGCCTCCTTATGGACATTTTTGTCCTTTTCAGTTTTGTTTTTTTGATCACTTTGCCTATGTTAATGCTAACTGCATAAAATTTGGCACATGTGTGTATTTTTTTGGGGGGAATTTTACTATTTCACTGCCATTTTCTTTAAAAAATACATTTTGCACTAGGTACACAAAATACTCCCACACACGCCTTTTGGACAAAAATGTCCCCATTGAAACCCATTAAAAATGCACATTAAAAATGCACATTTAACTATATAATGATGCAATCTTTGTTAAGAGGCTTTCATTCTGTTGGCAAGGCTTCAAAATGTAAATTTTTACTATTTTTTACCAGATGGTGCCATTTTTCCAGGTTTGGCCTATAAAACAAATAATCGCTTTATTCCTGTTTTCTGCTTCGGCATAGCAATTGGAAAAATTGTGCAACAGTAATTGTATGGGTGTGTTTGTATGGATGTCAGAGTGTGGTTAGTATGTGTGTAATAAGAAAAAATGTGTGTGTTTGTGTGCTTGTAATTTTTGAGAGAGAAAAAACTCAACTGCAAATCTAAAATCCAATCACTGTGTGCCCCAGTGGAGTTTTCCTGGCACCCAATGGGGAAAATCTGTTACTGCGCCCAAACAAACTCTTACCGAAAGTTTTTTTGAGATATCATTCTCAAATTTTGAACACAACTTTAGATTTATGGCTTTGAATTTATATCAGTATTGGAGTTCAACATGTTTCATACAATATATATTTTATATAAAATAACGATCATAATGTTCATAAATAATTTTCATAAACTTAAACCTCTATGCAACATTTTGCAACTTAAGTCTTTGATCCCAAGCCTAAAATCTGTATGACAGTTTTTTGACATGGACATTTTGTCCATGTCCATTTTGTCCACTTTGGAGCTTTAAGGTTTTTTTTTGTGTGTTAATGCTAACTGCATGAATTTTGGCACAGGTGTGTATTTTTATTGTAATTTTACTATTTCACCGCCATTTCCTTTGAAAAATCTTTTTTGCACTAGGTACACAAAATACTCCCACTCAGCGCCTTTTGGACAAAAATGGCCCCATTGAAACCCATTAAAACTGCACTTTTTAATCCTAGGGCCATTTAACTATAAAAAGATGCAATCTTTGTTAAGAGGCTGTCATTCTGTTGGCAAGGCTTCAAAATTTTAATTTTTACTATTTTTTTACCAGATGGTGCCATTTTTTTTCAGGTTTAGCCTAAAGCAAATTGGCAATTGGATAAATTATGCAACGATATTTGTGTGGGTGTGTTGGTATGTGTGTTATAAAAAAAAATGTGTGTGCATGTGTGTGTTTGTAATATTGAGAGAGAAAAACGGAAAAACTCAACTGCAAATAACAAATCCAATCACTGTGTGCACCAGTGGAGTTTTGCTGGCACCCAATGGGGAAAATCTGTTACTGCGCCCAAACAAACTCTTACCAAAAGCTCATTTTTTGAGAGATCCTCAAATTTGGAACACAACATCTTTAGATTTATGGCTTTGATTTTCTAGCTGTTTTAGAGTTCAACTTGTTTCATAAAATATATATTTTATATAAAATAATGTTCATAAATCATTTTCATAAACTTAAACCTATATAACCTTTTTGGGGATTTACTTATTCATTTTTTTTATTTATGTTTTTTACTTCAGCAATAATCTGCCAAGGGTCTTCTTTAAAATGATATAAAACTTAAATCTGTGCTCCCAAGCTTCACATTTTTATGACAGTTTTTTGACACAGACATTTTTGTCCTCTATGTACCTATGTGTAACTTTTTTTAATTGAGGCACAAGGGTTAAACTTCTTGAAAATTGTATGTATTTTTTTCTCTATTGTGGTCACTTCTTGTTTCCTGAGAAATCGGTGCAAAATATCTGTGATAAAATAAAAGTTGCTGCAATTGGGGAAGCCACTGTGGCTCTTTTTTCCTCCATCATAAATGACTTACTTCTCTGAGCGCACAGACTAAATGCAATAAACGCAGTCATATTGCGTTCGGATTCCTGGTGTTTGGGAACCAATCGTGTGAGACACTTCTCGCAGGGCATTAAACCAAATCATTATGACTACAGACTTTGGCTCATGGATTTCAGAATGATCAAACCAACATTTGAGATTTTTTTTGTTGCGCATCAAGGAATTTTCCAGTAAATGTGTTTCCATCGTAGTTTGTGCATGTCTTCTGACACGTTAGTACATGTACATACTATAGTAAAAACAGTAAATTATGCATAATTACAATTATCTACCGTAACTCAATAGTGAGTACATTTATTTAATTAATATTACTCAGTACTTATTTGAGTAAGTACAATGTAACTTCACCACCTTAAAATAAAGTGTAACCAAAATGTATCTGCCTCAATTGAGTGCATACGTTTTTATGCACATTTTTAGAAGTTATGAGTTTCCATCCAGCGTTTTTTTTTTTTTATGCGATATCCCAAAATGCACATATATATATATATATATATATATATATATATATATATATATACAGGTCCTTCTCAAAAAATTAGCTATTGTGATAAAGTTCATTATTTTCCATAATGTAATGATAAAAATTTAACTTTCATATATTTTAGATTCATTGCACACCAACTGAAATATTTCAGGTCTTTTATTGTTTTAATACTGATGATTTTGGCATACAGCTCATGAAAACCCCAAATTCCTGTCTCAAAAAATTAGCATATCATGAAAAGGGTCTCTAAACGAGCTATTAACCTAATCATCTGAATCAACTAATTAATTCTAAACACCTGCAAAAGATTCCTGAGGCTTTTAAAAACTCCCAGCCTGATTCATTACTCAAAACCGCAATCATGGGTAAGACTGCCGACCTGACTGCTGTCCAGAAGGCCATCATTGACACCCTCAAGCAAGAGGGTAAGACAGAAAACAATTTCTGAACAAATAGGCTGTTCCCAGAATGCTGTATCAAGGCACCTCAGTGGGAAGTCTGTGGGAAGGAAAAAGTGTGGCAAAAAACGCTGCACAACGAGAAGAGGTGACCGGACCCTGAGGACGATTGTGGAGAAGGACCGATTCCAGACCTTGGGGGACCTGCGGAAGCAGTGGACTGAGTCTGGAGTAGAAACATCCAGAGCCACCGTGCACAGGCGTGTGCAGGAAATGGGCTACATGTGCCGCATTCCCCAGGTCAGAAGCGCCTGACCTGGGCTACAGAGAAGCAGCACTGGACTGTTGCTCAGTTTTGCATGTCATTCGGAAATCAAGGTGCCAGAGTCTGGAGGAAGACTGGGGAGAAGGACATGCCAAAATGCCTGAAGTCCAGTGTCAAGTACCCACAGTCAGTGATGGTCTGGGGTGCCATGTCAGCTGCTGGTGTTGGTCCACTGTGTTTTATCAAGGGCAGGGTCAATGCAGCTAGTTATCAGGAGATTTTGGAGCACTTCATGCTTCCATCTGCTGAAAAGCTTTATGGAAATGAAGATTTCATTTTTCAGCACGACCTGGCACCTGCTCACAGTGCCAAAACCACTGGTAAATGGTTTACTGACCATGGTATTACTGTGCTCAATTGGCCTGCCAGCTCTCCTGACCTGAACCCCATAGAGAATCTGTGGGATATTGTGAAGAGAAAGTTGAGAGATGCAAGACCTAACACTCTGGATGAGCTTAAGGCCGCTATCGAAGCATCCTGGGCCTCCATAACACCTCAGCAGTGCCACAGGCTGATTGCCTCCATGCCACGCCGCATTGAAGCAGTCATTTCTGCAAAAGGATTCCCGACCAAGTATTGACTATTGAGTGCATAACTGAACATAATTATTTGAAGGTTGACTTTTTTTTTGTATTAAAAACACTTCTTTTATTAGTCGGATGAAATATGCTAATTTTTTGAGATAGGAATTTGGGGTTTTCATGAGCTGTATGCCAAAATCATCAGTATTAAAACAATAAAAGACCTGAAATATTTCAGTTGGTGTGCAATGAATCTAAAATATATGAAAGTTTAATTTTCATCATTACATTATGGAAAATAATGAACTTTATCACAATATGCTAATTTTTTTAGAAGGACCTGTATAATAGGTGGATGGAAAACATAGAGCTACTGACTCTAATACTTTGGCATTTTTGTTAGTGAAATGTTGTTTTTCTCCCTCTGCCACCCAGTGATCGCCATTGACATCGACCCCATACGCCTGGCTCTGGCACAGAACAACGCAGAAGTGTATGGTGTGGCGCACCGGATAGAGTTCCTGCAGGGAGACTTCTTGCAGTTGGCTCCACGCCTGCGAGCAGACATGGTTTTCCTCAGTCCCCCGTGGGGAGGACCAGAGTACCTCAGTGCTGACGTCTTCAACATCAAGACCATGATGACTCCTGATGGATATCCTTTCAGTCTTACACTCTGTGCTTGTATTCTCTTTCCTTTCAAATGAGGTTTTCACTCAAAGTGGAAAGTTCAAGTTTGTCCTTTTTCCACAACACTCTGTGTGGTATTACGTACCGTAAATACTTTCTAACGGATGTAGTCAAGATGCTTCAAACCACCTGTTTCAACTTCCTTAACCATCTATACATTTGAAATTTTCAGGTTGTCAAAAATGATTTCAGACAATATTGTGTATTTTCTTCCTCGAAATGCGGACATGGAACAGGTAATGGTCATTTATTTACACAAATCAGTTTTAAAATGGTAACCTGAAAACCTCCCTTTGTATATTGATTCTAAAAGTTCTTTTGTTCACAGTAGCATGTGGATTAACTTAACTCTAATACACATCTTAAAATGGTCATCACATTGGCCACAGTGGTTAACAAATTGTTGCTGTTTTGTGGTTGTTCATCAGCATACCCACATTTGTGCTCTCACTGCTCTGTATCTGGTTTTATCTGTTTTGTGCTCCGCTTTTATACGTTTGTGACCAATACTCAGATTTCTTTTGTTCTTTTTTTAGCTTTATTAAACATAGAAGTTGCAAGCATGTTCTGTTAGCACAATACATCAGCCAGTGTTCTTAATTCCTATGTAGTCAAAATCATCTGTGGTTGGTCACTTGGTTCAACCCTTTTAGTATTTGTATCATTAGTACACATGGTTGCTGTGCTTATATTTAGTCTTTGACATATTTCTAGTTCCTGTTATCACTTTAGTGTCTCATATCTGTCCAGCAGTACAAAGTCAAAGTGCCAAAGTCCATCAATGACGACATATACTTATATAATAAGAAATTATTTAGAATTATTTTCACAGAATGTGTTTGTTGACTTTATACCTGGGTTAGTTTAGTGCATATGATGTCTGTCAATTGCAGCTGTATCATGGTTTTTGATTTCTCTGAAAGCTCTTGTTGTCTGATGCAGTGTGGTTGCACCTTTTGAAACCACACTGCTTTCCGGAATATTCTGTGTCAGACTGACTGACTGAAGCAAATTTCTACACTAATATCTAAATTAAATACATCATTACCATTTGCCCATCACTGCACCACTGCATTGTATGTATTAGTGTGACTTGTGATTAAATTCAAGAACAATTTTCCTTAAACCAAGATACTATGGTGGTATTATACTCATACTGATATGTTCATATTAGCAACTAGTGACCACGTTGCCTGTGATGGTAACTCACACCTGCTCTGCCTCATTTCTTCTTCCTCTTTCTCTTCATACCCCTCCCTCTTTCTGTCTTTCACTCTGTATAGATCGCGTCTCTCGCCGGCCCAGGTGGGAAAGTGGAAGTGGAGCAGAACTTTTTGAACAACAAACTGAAAACAATTACTGCATACTTTGGCAGCTTAATTAAGTCAAAAACCTAAAACATTTTATTTCCTTTTTTTACTTCTTTTAGTCATTTATGTTATCTGTACTTATTGCACTTGAATTGTACTCATACACATTATCTGCTGTTTACTGTTTTGTAAAGCCATTGACGATGAATTTTACATACTAATGTGTACTCATGATGCTGCTAGTTTAATGTTTATTTTAACAGTTTTGTTTTTCCAGCATTGATATTTACCTATTAAAATTAATTTGAAGGAACGATGCATGGAAGTCATAAAATTGCACAGCCTGAAACATCCCATGTTTAATTTTCTTTTAGAAAATATCTATCCATCTATCATCTATCTATCTGTCTGTCTGTCAAATAGAACTTACACAGTTCTTTGAGAGTATTAGATAATGTATTACCTTTATTGGTCACACTTTAAATTAGGTGTCTTTAACTACAATGTAGGCCTACTTACATAGAAATGTTAGGTACTTATTGTGTTCATGTTGTATTGAAAGACACGTTTGCTATTGAGGTGGGATTTGGGGAAGGTTATGGGCAGATTTGTTGTTACGGTTAGGTCTAACCCTTGTGCACTGTTCGAATTCTGTGTACACCCTTTATGGAGCGGGTCAAATTGACCCTAATTGGATTCAATACAATTCCTCAAAAATCACACTATGAAAAACAACAAAGATTTAGATACAAACTGTAAACTTTTAATATCAACATTTGTCAAACATTACAAAAACATTATATCTGAAAATATGATTTATAAAAAAAAATTTAAACCAATTTTTGACAAAATTGGAAAATAAACAGTATACCGACTTTTTTTTTTTTTTACATTTTATGCTTTGAACATCATAACTGAACAATAAAATTTTGTTGTATAATGAAATTTTTTTATTTTCCTAAGTTAACTTTCCCTAGTTTCCTAAGACCTAGTTTCCTAGTTTCATTATTCACTCACAGGGAAGTGAGAAACCAAACATAACAAAAACATACATCAAATAAATGTTTTTTTTTATTAATTTTTTGGCTCTGTGAAGCTGCCTTTGAAAATCCTACATAACAGTTTTGGTTAAAAGCAAGGTATTTTACATATCTTGAATATTGAAATGAGAGCTTATTTTACTATCTGTGTCTGACAAAGATTTTCATCTGTAATTTGCAAATAATTCTAAACACTGTGATTTTAGCTTTTTCAAGTGTGTTTGGTTAGGGTTAGATCACTTTTAGCTACACTTGCACGTTAGAACTGGAGTTGAAGTGCCCTTACATACAGAAAATAAATGTTTTTATTTTGTGTCTGTAGCCTACAGTTGCTTTTGAATGGCTGCCTATGAGGGTCAAATTGACCCGCGAACATCACGAACGTAATACTAATTTTGTTTGTATATGTCAAAACACATCAGCATGTTGAAACTTTGCATGCATGTTCATCATGATAAATGAGAAAAAGTGACAAAATATCAAGAAAAAAAACAAAGGTTAACCAGTATTTCCAACAACTAGAAAATCGAAACGGGTCAAATTGACCCGCAACATATGTACACAAGGGAGGGTGGGTTAACGGTACTTTTTATTATTACAGCTTTATAATTACATGTAGGTGTTTTTTAAATGTAAGTCGAATGTAAAAACGTATACCTTACAAGTGCATTGTAAAATGATTAATAAATCTGAGTAGGCTACGTAGCAGGTCTAGTTAAAGACAACTAAATCGTTCATACACATGCATTTATGATAATTCAACAGGGTTTAAAAAACGTCTATTCGAACTGTCACTACCAAATAATATAATGACCTGTAGGCTACATGTTCCTACCACATTCGCGAGTTTTGTTTCCAGCAGAATCTGCATTTGGCAAACGTAATGTCACTGCGGTTTTATGCAAACAAATAAAACAGAACACTGATCAACACGGTGAATACTGTAGCCTACACCAGGAAGTTGAAAGAGCAGTAAAAACAGCAGGCGTCCAGTCTCGGGTTCCTCATTCTGTGTTTGTGTGTGCGTGTGTCGCTTCAATGAGAGTCAGAGAGCGCGCACTCGACGGGCATTTCTCTCAGAAACTATTCCCGTTAAATGCGAGTTAACCTGCTTTTCTGACATTTGACAGGTAGGTGGACTCTTTTTTCTTATCTTCTCTACTCTTGTAAATAGTTTTTTTTTTTTACAATCTGTACTGCTGCTGTTACAGTGAATGTGTAATTTAACGGTTTAATCCATCATGTATCGGTGTTTGCCTTTCTTTCTACTGTAAAATATCAATTTAATCGGTCTTTCTTTTTGGGAGGTTTTTTTTAATGAGATCACAATTTAGTGATGTGTAAATGTGTTTGATGGAAATTCGGCTACAAAAATAGTAAAAAGCTGGTCAGCCTAATAATTTTCCTGGAGTAGGCTAATAAACTGGCTGTAAAATCTGGATAATTATTAACTCGTGGATTCATCTCTCAGAGAGAGTTTTAGAAAGATTATTTTGGCCAGTCATCACGCACAACATTATAAATCACTTTTACAAATCACATTTAATCCCATAGAAAAGAGAAATCACGAATTAATTCAAAGTCGTTTTGAGGTGTCATGCTTCTCATATAAAAACAAACATTCCAATCTCACGTTTCCTATACATTTTCAGACAAGATCTCAAAATGTGCTCAGATTTTTGGAGATATCAAGGCCTGCGGTCAAAAATTAGATTTGAAAATGAACTAAAACGTTTTACCATTAAATCCAAGTTATCTCTCATTTGAATCCATTTTTATTTCCCCTAAGGAATGTGAGGGAAAACATCAGAAAAATGTTGTCAGCATTAAAATTACAGTAGTAATAGGCTAACTCAAATATAATTACATGTTTTCCTCCAAATATTGATTTTATTTTCCATTTCACAGTTTGTGTTTTGCTTAAAAATAACATGTTATTCTGATGGCATGTTTCCTATGTTGGGCTATTTTTAGATAAAGTTTGTGAGTTTTTACACCATGACACTTGACCTGAGTTGTTGCAGCAGAGACACCCTTTTCAATATTTTTTTTTCTCAGAAATCAGGCCTACTGACTTACTGTCCTTCCCCCAGCCTCTCAAATGTCTGTGTCTGCAGGCTACAAAAACTAGAGTTCCTAAATAGCCTGTAAGTCAATCTCAAGGTGCGTATAGCGTTCAGACAGGCTGTAGACTGAAACTCAGAAGTAGTTGAGAGTTCTTTTGTGTGTCTCTGTCTTTCCTGTGTTACTGAACGCCCTATAGAAGCTGGTCAGATGAGGAAGTGTGCAGCCCCAGTGGCCTGCTTACTCACGCATTAATCTAGCATTATATCCTTGTTACTGGTTTCCTGCTGACATCTAAAAATACTGCCGCATCAGTGGAGTCCAGGACAGGCACAGTTTCATCCGAGTGTTGTGTAGCCGTTTAACCAAGTTTAACAACAAGTTTCACCTTCAGGACAATGGAGGGCACTTTGTCCCCGGTTTCTTCCTTATTACTTCTGACATCATCACATCGTTTGTAATATGTACAGAACAATGTCTGTTGCTTTGAGAGATATAGAAATATCTGTTTTGGACTTTGCTTTGCTACATTATAGGTGCTCAGACAGATTTGTTTGGCTACTTTGGGCACTGAATTGGTCAAAAGGAAACAGTGTTAAACATTTCCTGAAATACCAAAGGTTGGAAATAATTGCCAAAGAATCTTGTCAGAATTTCCCAGAGGGAGGGCAATGCTGCGGGATCTGATGAAATAAGGTTATTTTTTAAAATGACGCAGCCATTTGCCTCCTTTCCTAAGAGTTCAGTGTATATTTTTATTCGTTGTTTGAATTGTAGCCTGGTAAATAGAAAAGGAAATGAAGTTATTCAGCGTTTACTGCTTATTGACCTGAAGTGGATTGCCTAAGAGATTTACGGTAGATGCATTTCCTCTTGATAATCCTGTTGCCGTTGCTTTGGTGAAGCTGACACCCAATGTTTATGACATCCGCAACGACCCTGATTTTGATAGAGAATGTTTACCTCTCCCCCCAATATTCTAAGCTGTGAGAATAAGAAAAAGACATCTATTCTACGGGAAATACCTTGGTTTCTTCTCTATAATGTGTTCACCTGACCTTCTGTTGGGTTTTGTAAGCTGCAAGTGTTCTTTATAACATGTTGAAGAGGGCGTATCATTATTTAGAAGGCATGTTATTACTTGTTGTATGATACCTGGCAACCTTATACTGAGTGATTTGATACTTCTTATCATGACCTACGTGGATGAGCACACATCACTGTTTTAAATGCAAATAAAGGAGTTCTCCATGACTTCATTTTATTCATCATGCATACAGCATTTGAAACAAAATTCTAAAGTAAGTTTGGCTATATTCTACTTCCCACATGTATTATTCAGCCCCTTTAGTGAACACACCTAAATAACCATTCATTCTCAAGTAATAAATGTGTATCTTAACAATTAAACAAAGATAAAAACTAAGGTGCTGCGGTCATCTGGATTGGAAAACAACTACAATGTCATAAAGAACAACAACAATTATATTTAAATGTTGACATATTATAGATATGAAATTATATAATATTTAAAATACATTTAATAAATGTTCAAATATTAAATCAATATTATGTTTTCATTTAATAGTATAATGATTTCATTTTGTGTCAAATAGCATAAATAAATAAAAATAAAAAAATCCGTTCTACTTATCAATCATCTAATAATAATTAGATCATCTTCTGTATCATATCTGGCATTGAAAAATCAATATCATTGATACCTGTGTTGATTAATCGTGGTGTGGAATCTCCTCTCCGTCAGTTCTCAATATGAGGACCTATTCAAAGTCGATTCGAGTTTAATTATCTTTACTGAAACAATGACATCTATAGTAATACGAGTATTAAACGTGTTGATCTTCCCCCGGTTTCACGGACACGGCTTAAGCCTAGTCTCAGACTAAAATGAATGTTTGAGCTGTTTTAACTGAAAGTAACTTGCACTGAAATATCTTAAAATATGTTAGTGCCATTGTTTTGTCTCCAGATGCACACTAGTAATGTTTGTTTCTAAGGCACGTTTATAAAAGCTACTTGAATGCCCTAAATTGAACTAAGGCCTGTCTGTGAAACCGGGCCGTAATGTAATGCAGTCTTTTGATGTAAACTTGTCATAAAGCGTTTCATGAACTTCGTTTTGTTTTGATTTAATTCCAAATTCTGTTAATATTTTATGAAATGACAGTGGTTAATCTTTTCCTTGCAG